CCCACTTACGGATACGCCCAGCCCCCTCCTCCCGGTGGTGCACCCACTTACGGCTACCCTCAGCCCGGTGGTGCACCCACTTACGGATACGCCCAGCCCCCTCCTCCCGGTGGTGCACCCACTTACGGCTACGGTGAGCATTGTGGGCACTACCCAGAGGCTACACCATATTATCATGATCCAAACCTTCCACCAGCGGAGGGCAAGCCTTTGTACAACCCAGAGGAGATAGCTGGAGAACCTAACCTGAAGCGATTTGTTAAGAATGGCTACAAAGATGTTTGGGCATCTCTTGTGTTTTTGATTTTATTCCTTACATCCATTGTGTGGGGCGCCCTAAACCTCATCACTTTCAAGCCCATTTCTACTGATAAGTGGAAACCGAACTCTTCAGGATCGAAGACCTTGGAAACAACAATAACATTTCGTCATGTTCTCATAGTTGTCACCTTCTCTGGACTATGCGTTGTACTTTCGTTATTTGGAATTTGCTTAATGAGATCGAGTCCGACAAAGTATATCTACATTACAAATATACTGAATGGTTTACTACTCGCAGCAATTGCCGTGCATGCTGCGATGAATAAGGTATGGCTCTTGTGTGGACTTACGGGCATTTGTAGTGCATTAAGTTTTCTGTTTTTATACTGCGCGCGTGGACGCATCCCCTTCGCAGCTGCTCTACTGAAAGCGTCTTCAAATGTCTTTTTGAATTACAAGAGCATCTTTTTTATTAATATTCTAGCGGTACTAATATTTATTGTATACGCTTTTGTTTCATTCTTTATGACGTTACCGTCATTTGAACGAAAATATTATAAACGCGACAATAAATTTGATGTAGCAATCATTGTGGGTTTTTTTTTACCTTTTTTTGGGCTTCACAGGTTTTCGAATACGTGCTGCACGTTACAGCTTCGGGATTGGTTGCGACATGGTATTTCGCAGGTTTTGGCAATATGCCATCCAGCCCGTTATTCGCATCCTTTACACGTGCAATGACTACGAGTTTTGGCTCCATTTGCTTCGGCGCCCTCTTAGTGGCTATCATCGAACTCATTCGTTTCCTTGTCGAATCTATTGATAGCGATGATAATTTTCTGAAGTGCATCCTAGACTGCATTTTAGCGTGCATTGAGAGAATAATCGAGTATTTTAATACCTACGCCTTTGTGCATGTGGCCATCTACGGATGCGGGTATTTCGAAGCTGCTACGCGTACATTTCAGTTGTTCCAACAGTGTCTATTTAAAGCGATTGTAAACGACTGCCTGGTAAATCCAACTCTTACAATATCTTCATTTGGCTTGTCTCTGGTTTTGGGTATTGCTAGTTACATCATAGATCAGAACATATTCATGGGTATAATTGTTTTTTTTGTGTGCCTTTTGATCTCTAATTTATTGTTTTCGCCCATTAAGAGCGCTGTTGTAACTATATTCGTATGCTTTGCGGAGGTTCCTGAAGGTTTGGAGAAATCCGATCCGTTGCTATATCAGAAAATACTTAATGCAAATGCTGAGATTGAACAGAGTTAATAACTCTCTAAGCTTTACAATATATATATATTTTTGTATTGCCGATGAAAATATATTGGTTTTGGAAAAGTTTATGCTTTATAATTTGTTCGGTAATTTTTTTGCTGAACTCTTGACGGTGTGAAGAAAAAAGAATGTTAATCATGAAGAGTTAGACATTATCATGTTTTTTCTTTTATAGGTGTAAAATTCATGATATATATATATATATATATATTCTGTTTTTTTTTGAACAATATCCGCTTTGTGTTAATCAATGCAATTTTAAAATTATGTGAAGACGCAAAGGAAAAGCAGCATTGAGGAGACTTTATTCATTTATGATGCAATTCGTATTCTATCAGACTAATTTTTAAAACATTATTTGGAATAGGTCTTATGTAATATTGCACATTGTACCGAATACCTAGTAATGCATATTTACATCTTATATAGAGATAAAATACCAAATTAGTTAAAGATTATTACTAGGGATTGGAAATAATTTCTAGCCTGAAAAAATAGTTATTATTATTATTAATTTTATAGTTTAAAAATGCAATAATACAGTTTAGGACAAAATGATGATCGTATTTATCTGACCATATATTTTTTTATGGATAAAACCACAGTGTTTTCTATTATACTTTCCTTTCTACATTAAAACCTCTGACACTACTTTTCTTACTCTACGTTCATGAACATCTATTGACTAAAGGATCAGGGCATTCAATAGCCGAAAGTGCATCTTTTCAGTTGGAAGAATGCTTTTCAGTGGTGTCGTCTTCCTAGTCCCCCCGATTGTTTGTTCCTCTACTATAGCCATTATTTACAAGCACGGAGGACACGTTGTCTATACCTTCGACGACAGCGTCACTTGCGGCATTCAAGCTGCTAGCGCAATCGATGAGTCCTGCATCAAAAGTCTTGAGGGTGCCAATGATAATGCCCAACGGATGCAAAGGTATCTGCGGCTCATGCAGACACTGAACAGTTTTCCAAGTATCGACGAATTTCGCCATAATCGTTTATTTATTGTTTACGAGTGTTGGGTTGTGGAGAGTGCGTTGCTTGGCCAGCGTCTGCCGTTGCACCCGTTGGATACGCAACACGTGGCTTACCATCCTTTCAGCATGCACGGCTTATCATTCACGACCAGCCAGCTTCCGAGGTCTATAAAGGCGAATGTCGTCGCGGCTCTTCAGTCCTGCGGGGCGCATTACACCCCCCATTTGGACGGTCGCACGCAGCTTGTCGTGTACTCAAGGCTCCTGGGGTCGGGGGGCACCACTGGGCCCCAACCGCGGTCTGTGCAATGGTGTGCAATTGAGCAACCGAGCGGGGAAGTTCTGAAGAGAAATTCGCCAAAGTTCCAGGAAAAGGCTTTACTCAGGGTAGAAGGGAGCTGCTCAAGGGGTGCGGTGGTTTGCGACCGTGAAGACGTCGGTTCGAACTTAGGCATGCACCGCAGTAAGTGGGATATTGCACAAGTAGCTCGCATTCCTTGTGTAACACCGAGTTGGGTCGAGTTGTGCGTACGGTTAGGTCGTCGCCTCCCTTTAACATCAGAAGTCTCTTGCACTTCCTTCATCTCAGCCCTCTTGCACGCATCCTCGGTTGCATTGCCCAAACGCCCGCGTGAGGAGAGGTTATTTTATGGGGATTCAAACTCTGAACAGATGAAGCTTGCCAGATGAGATCACGATTTCTAACTTATTGACAAGTTTATAAATCTGTCATTTTTTATTCCTTCTGGCAGTAAGGTATCGAGAAGGTTGTTTATATAGATACACACGTTTCCATACGTTTTTTCATAGATCACAAATATACAATAATATGAATAGAAGAGCCCCAATCAATGATGATGAACAAATTGGGAAAAATAGATACAATTTACGTGTTTGCAGCATTTTTACAATATATTTATATATATACATAGAAATAGAAATAGTGGTTTATTTTCTTCCTCAGATATGAAAAGGGGTTATATAGTCTTTGCTATGTTTTTTGTAAACTTCTAGAATATTTAACCCTATTGATTCATATTTATATATTACAATCAACAACAACAAAGGTTATCCATTTAATGGCACGCAGATTTATTTTCGACAATATTTTTATCTTTTCTGTACGAACTTCAGTCATTCATCCCAAGGAAGGTTTTTTTCAAAGAAAACATAGCGTGAAATCCAAGAACAAGGGTTGCTGCTAATTTTTTTCTCAAGGTAGTACAAATGATTAGGTCATCAGCCACCTCGCTGCCCTCTGGACAGACCATAGCTCCGCCTCCTGCCCATGCGTCTATTTTTTCTAGTAGAGGTCAAAGTTCAAGCATCTTTAGTATTGTGCAAAAGTACATGGACCGCTTGCTTCCTATCGATCAGACTATGAAGATTCTTTTGGTGGATAAAGTTACTCTGAATATCATCTCCATGTCGTGTTCCCAGTCTTTCCTGCTGCATCGCAGTGTGTTTTTAGTTGATCAAGTTACTGGTCATTGGCAGAGACATAAGATGAAGGCGATGCGGTGCATTATTTTTATACGGCCTGATCCCGAAACCGTTGAGGCCGCCTGCGCCGAGTTGCAGGCGGCCAAATACAGCAGCTATTCAATTGCCTTTTGCGGTGTTACCCCATTGGAGTATTTAGACCGACTGGCCCATGCCGATCAAGAGAGCTTGGTAACCCACGTTGACGAATTTTTCTGCGACTTCGATGCGGTCAATCACGACGCGTTTCTTATAGAGAAACTCAACCCGTCTATTGAGCTTCTCTCACCCGGCCCTACGCTGAGGCAGATTAGTCGCATGGCTCAAGGTTTGGCGTCCCTTTCTTTGGCGCTGCGTCTACGTCCCATCCTTCGTTTCCAACGTAGCAGTCCCTACGCCTGTCGTCTGGCAAACGAGCTAGGCAACATCTATCGCAATGATCCTGTATTATATGACTACCGCAGCAAAGATACGGTGCTTTTGGTTTTAGATCGCAATGATGATCCACTGACGCCCCTGCTAACCTCATGGACCTATCAGGCGATGTTGCACGAGCATATTGGACTGGAGCACAACCTACTGCGTCTTCCCGAGGGCGTCGAAAACGCGAACGAAGAGGGTTATGTGTTCTCCGAGCAAGACGACCCTTTCTTTGCGGGTAACCTATGCGATAACTGGGGTGATCTCTGCAATAATGTTAAGGGCTACATTGATCGATGCAAGAATGCATTAAATTTAGATCGTACCACCGTGACGATGGACGAGCTCAGGCAATTCATGCAGCGCATGCCGCAAACTAAGAGTCTTACAGAGTCCGTTATTAAACACATGGCAGTAGTGAGTCATCTCACCAATGTGATTAAGCAACGGGATTTGTTGCAGGTGTCACTTTTAGAGCAAGATATGGTTGCCTCGTCCTCCCCTTCGGAGCATTGGAACCGCTTAGAAGCATTGATTACAAGGGAGGACATTCAATCCAGTGACAAGCTGCGTCTTTGTCTTCTTTACCATATGCGCTATGAAAAACCAGGCCAGTTGTCACGCACCACCCCTTTTTTGGATAACATTAGCAGCACTGCCGTCCAGCTTCTTCAAAAATTACGCAGCTACTACGGACGTGATCGACCAGTTGAGGGACTATTTGCCGACACTGGGATTATGGATGTGATTGTGAAGACTTTTGTAGATTCTGGAAATATTTACACTCGGCATGAACCCGTGTTAAAGCGGACTCTGCAGCACTTGCTAAGCGGGCGACTAGATTTGAATACGTATCCTTACTTGAATAACTCTTCGACGCCTCCAACATATACTAGCGCAGATGGTAGCGCGTACAAGCCAAAAGAGATTATTGTGTTTATGTGTGGCGGTTACACGTTTGAGGAAGCAGCACTAGTACGGGCTGTTAATGAGAAAACTGCGTACAAATCCGCACAGATGAGCAATTTCTGTGCAGAGGGCAGTGAAGTAAAAGTGATCATTGGGGGAGAAAGCACACTGAACTCGACTCAGTTTATTGAGTATCTATCACGAGTTTCGTAATCGAGTCTGTGAGATCAGAAACATGTGAACCGAGTGTAGTGGCTATTTCACATAGATATTCATACATATTTATAGATCTAATCCATTTTCTACACTTACACCTCAGCTTTCTTATGATATATGATTGATGACTACTTGTGCTGAAAATATTTCACATTTGTGATATTTTTTAATTTTACAAGATACAATAAGCATGGATTCTTGTGTCAAATGAAATTATTATTCTTTCTGAAGCAACAATATATCTTTGTATCTTTTTTTTTGTTATTGTTGTTATTTATTGCATTTTTTTTTTAAGTCTTTAATCCATCATTTGTACTCTTTTGCTCCCCTTATTCTATCTGGCTGGTTATTTGTATTTGTCTGCCTGGATCTACACTCATGATCCTTTTTTGGGATTTTGAAGTGGAAGAAAGACTGTCCTCTCCATACGCGCAGAAAGGACCTGTTATCTCGATAGGGATAGACAAAGTGCATTCCATTTTCAGATAGAGTAGTTTTCTGTTTGAATTTAGGTCTACGTCACTCCTTTTTCACTTGCTTTTATTGTGTGGACACATTTGTATAGAGTGTTCATAGATGGAAGTAATAAATACGAGCTTGGAAATGAAGGATACTGTGCCAATGCGACATGATTTAGCGCATTTGAATGATATTTCACAATTCGTTTCCCCCAAAGCAAACCAATCGAGGCTCGAACGTCAGCGATTCTCGAATCATGTGCCAAAAAACATTTTTGAGCTATCCACTGTGGTTCTTATTACAAGTTTACCCTCTTCTTTATCCCTCAAATCATTCAGATCGCCATCCGATACTGGCCTAGATACTCGACGCAATACACTATTCCTATGCAAAAATCAAACTTATCACGATGCAAAGTATAGGAGAACGAAGGCGGTTGAAAACGCATTTCACGGCATGGGATTGCCTGCCTTACGTTATTCCCCAGCTTGGCGTCTGCGCCGCCAGTGTGCACTCGATCACTTTTACGATGTTGACGTTTCTCGACGCATTGCGCAGCGTCCGGAGAATGGAATTCGAGCTCACCTTCAGATCCTCCTCTGCGAAGCACGACGGGCACTTTTGGCTATTTCCCCTGCAAAGGCCTGTCTGTTCGACACATTCACCGAGCCCATTTTGAGGGGCTCCTCATTCCAGCAGGTCACGTTCCCATCAAAAGATCCAACCTCGCGGCGCCATCGGTCCGCCACGGGGAAAACGGCCGTTCATTTGCAGAAGGTTTACAACCCCGTATCGACTTCTCGTGGTCCTGATCTCAATCCTGCGCATCCACAGGGAGCCGCCTCGACTTTGGATGACGAACTAAAAGGGGAACCCCTGACAGTGGAGGAAAAGCTACTATATGTGATCCTCCGCACGAGCCTTTTAGACCGCGTTGATTTCGACAGCAGTTGCGGCGCGGCTTATCAAGTGCAAGAAAGAGGAGCTTTTGTGAACGCCGCAGAAAGACATGAGGATCCCAATGCTTTTAATCTCCAAGAGTCTGCATCCGTACAATACGCATCATTCCTCCACGCCGTTCATCCGTCGGTATCCTCTTACGCGAATCATTGGAGCTTGGATGCTTCTGAGGAGGTCGCTAATCTCAGTGGTATCCTGAATTCCACTTCCCCCATTGAGGGAGCGAGGGGTGGGTATAGGGCTGGTGGCGTTGATCCTCTTGGGGGTTCTTCTTCCGTCGACCGACAAGAGGTTGTGGAGAGGCAAAAGGCCGCACAGGCCGAAGACCTGAACACCTCTTCAGATAGTCTGGCGCATAAACGAATAAAAGTAGAGGGGGAAGCCGCGGAAAAGGTCGTCGAACGGTCGAAAAAGAACCCCAGGAGGGCGTTCGTAAACGAGCGGGCTGCCGTTGCGAGGACGAATCACTATCGTTCGCATTGCTTGCTGTCGTTAGGAGCGAGGGGAGAGGAGAAAAATAGAAATGCTCGGCGTAGACAGCAGGATGTGTTGCTGCCGCGGGAGCCCCGCTTTTGGTTGAATTCCAACACTGTGAACCTTGTGGAGCGCTCGGACGCCCTGCAGAAGGCCCTTTGCTGGTCTTCAGAAATTGATCCTGTGGTGGAGGCCTTGATGTGGCGAAGCGTCCGTCAGACGTACTCCCCCACCGCTATTTTTTTGGGCTACCATCCAGGCCTTTTTGATTCATGGGCTTGGTTTCAGGGGCTTTTGAGTGGCGTATGTGAAGAAGAGGTAGATGATTTAAGGGGGTCTAACGCCTGGTTCCGCGCGAATTCATTGCCGTTTCGGGCGCCGTACACGAGACAGACGACCATTCATGGCGTCGTTTCGACAGCATGGAGTGATTTACCCGAACAGGGGAGTGAAGCTGATGCTCTGGTGGAGTCTCTCTTTGAGCGCCCCCGAAGAGGACGGCGAAAGGAACAGGATAATAGTACTTCCACGCGATCTGACACCGATTGTGATGTTAAGGAGCTAGATAAAGCAGATACTTACGCACGCTCTACGGTTGCCAAGACTTCGGTTTCCTCCCCTGCATCTTTCGATAATATGCCTTTAGCGGTGGCCAGGCCACTGTCGATCTTTAGTAGTACATACGACAGCAGCGCGATGATGGTTCTTTCTACGATCTACACCACTCTCCACTGCTGCGTGGTCGGCCTCCAAGATCCCTTTCTTTTTGTGGTTATTCATCCTTCTCATACCAACGCACGATTTGTTGAGAAGCAACCCACAAAGTATGGTGCAGACACCGCGCATAAACAAAAAAAGGTGCATGAAGAAAAAAGATGTCGAAAGGAGGGACCACAGGACCAAGCTATCAACTTGCTTACCAAGGATTCGGTGGAAAAAACGTCGTCAGCGCAGGATGTGGGTTCTAGTTCTCCTGCTGTGTACATCGCCTTGAGCGATGAATTTTTTGAAGACGAAGCCAAGTCAGACCTCGATAAGGCGCCAATTTCAGGAGCCTGGAATAATAGCTCCAAGAATACACGTGTTTCTTCCATTCAATATTCACGTGAAAGGCAAAGCTCCGAGACACCGCTTCCTTATCTGACTGATGAGCGCCATGAATCCAGCGGGAAGCGCTGCCCATCGGGGGTATTATCAATTCTGCAGTGGGGTTGTGTGCAGGGAACGCAGTTTCTTCGGTTAGAATATCTCTGTCAGGTTGCGGTGCGGCCTGAAAATCGGGGGGGATTAGGGAGTTATGGGATGAGCGCGATAGATGCCCTTCGTTTGTCTTTATCGCTTATTCGACGCCAAGTGGTAGAGCTTTCTGCGGGATCGAGCGGACATCACAGGGTGACCTTTCCCGACTTTATTGACGCCCAGCGGCGTCTGTGCAGGGTGAGTAAAAGTATCGAGGTCCTCGCGAGTGTGTTTTGTGTGGATGTTTCGGATGATTGGGAAGCGATGAAGGCCTTGCAAGGGCTCTCCTCCGCAATGCTTTTAACCACGCTTCATGAGCATCACGCCGCCCACTATTCTAACATGGTGATGGGCTCTCTTAATGCATTCGGCACCGTCGCTGATAAAAGGTACGAGAGATCCAACCCAGGCAGTGATGGGGGCGGCTCCGCCTCTACGACGGAGGAAGACCTTGCACAACATTCCACCTCTCGAATGAATTATCTTGATGAGCCTATTGATGTGATTGCCTTTATCTTGCTAGAAGCTATGCGTCCTCTTCATCGCATGCTCCACACCTGGATAACTCAAAGCGTCCTCGTGGATCCTTTTGATGAGTTTTTCATTGTTCCCTCGCGCGCAAAAGGGTCCTTCGGCTTTGCGCTGGTGACTTCCCCTCAACGTTTGCCCTCGTTTATTACTCTAGAGGCGGCGAGAAATTTTATGCACGCTGGGGTTAGTCTTCGCACACTGCGGGCGGCCGCGAACGAGCTCATTTTCTCGACAAAGCACTACGAAAGGGAGCTCAGCGCCTGTGAGGACTTCATGGCGGATCTTGTCGAGCTTTCCGACGCCAGGCTCATGCACACAGTGGCAAAGAACTTTGTGGGGTCCCTTGCGGGGGTTCACGCCTTGACATGCGTGAATTTATTTTCCGAAAAGGGCTCCTTGGATTACTGGCGGAGTCGTTATGATGCCTGCAATGATTTGCTGCTTTCCACTATCGTGTCGCAGGATTGCGCGGAGGAGTGTAGAGCTTCCGAAGAATTCGACCTGGAGGACGACCACGGAAGCCGGAAGGCGGATGAGAATCGTGATCAACTTATTGAGGGCACGGAAAACTGGCGGAGGTCGATTCCACAGCTGGAGGAGAATGCGACTCATATCATTAATATGCAGGATACTTCGCATTCTTTCACGGTTCTAATGAGCGAGTCGAGGGCTTCGGGGTCGGTCAAACGTGACGATTCAAGGGAAAGGAGCACTTCGGTGACCTTCAAGGAAGGTGATCTGAATGGTGAGGGGGGTTCGGAAAGAAACTTGGGGAAATCCGAACCATCACTACCACTACCACCAACAACAACCGCATCTCACACAACGACCGAGGATGAGAATCGTGCAAGTTATCCCCTTTCTCTTATTCCACGCTTGGACCTCTTGAACGGGCTAAAGCACGCCAAAACACTTTCCATGTCGACTTCTTTGGCTAGCAGTTCTCGCGGGCTTGGACGGATGATGCTTCCTACTCCTCATGGTAATCTTTCTCCTCATTACAATTCCAATAATAGATCATCTTTTCACCGTAGTTTTGCCCCGACAGCTTTTTCAACGGGTTCCTCTCGCGCCACCACCGCCCTGCATGGTGCCATTAGCGAGGAGCTCCGTCAGGTCGTCCACGCCGTCCAGCGGCTCGAGCAAACCCATGAGGTGACTAACCACACCCTCCAGACAGAACATCAGCGGCGAATCCTCGCACAAACCCGCGCGAGTCGTCTATTCGAATGGAAAGCGCAGCGGATGTCGATTCGCGCGTCAAGGGTCCAGGCAATGCGGGGCCTAAACGACGCCCTGTGCGCTTTTTATGCTTCTTTTGGGGAGAAATCCTCTTCGTTGGTCGGGCGGCTTGTGGTGCCTCTTTCGCCCGCTTCACTGAAGCGCAGCCGGCCTCCCCCTGTTGTTCTGTACCCAACTTTTTCGCTAACCTCAACTATCGCAGAGCAGAAAAAGCGGCAAACGCAGGAAACGGATAAAGAAGGGAAAGGTGGAATCACCACAGGGGCTTACGTTATTTCCACAAGCGCGAGCGACGCCTCGTATCCCTCACGGCATAATCTCCTCACAGTAAGTGGGGAACGGCAGCCGTGTTCTCTTTCGACGCGAAGCCGCAGGAGTAACCTTTGGTCAAGCCGCCCTCATTCTAACCCTAGCCCTACCTGTAACCCGATTTCTGACCCTAGCCCTACCTGTAACCCGATTTCTAACCCTAGCCCTACCTGTAACCCGATTTCTG